TAGTTTGTTGTTAAATATCATTTAGTTTGTTCTCAAAGATCGCTTAATTTGTTCTTAAATGTCGCTTAGTTTTTTGTTAAATATCGCTTTCGCTTAGTATTAAATGACTGAAAACGTGAGTAACTTTCGGCCGTATGGCCGAAAGTCTAAGTCAATTTCGGCCGAAACCGAAGAAAAACCGAAAGTTAACTTTTCTCTTTTGGCCGAAACCGAAATTAAGCCGAAAGTTAACTTTCCAGTTTCGGCCGAAACCGAAACTTGGCCGAAAGTGATAAAATGGCCACTTTCGGCGCCGAAACCGAAGCCGAAGCCGAAATTCGGTCGGCCTCTACATTCAAACAAGTAACGCCCTTCATAGAAATCCCAATTAGTGCAAGCCCCCCCCCACCTCCCCATGGCTCACAACCACACATTTTTGACGCGCCACTGAACTATATTAATATTAATTACCCACCTGCTTTTACAACGCATATTTATTTCACCCTTATTTCAGAAAAAAAAAATAAATAAAATATTGCGCAAAAATCGCACTTGCGATATTTTTAAGAATCTCGTTTAGCGGAGTTGTCGGTAGTTTTATTTTGTGAAATCATTGGCCTAATATTTCCTTCGTCTTCCTCTTGAAAAAGGATGATTGTAGGGGGTGGAGTTTAGGGGTGGGGCTGAAAATTTGAAAGAAATCGTTGTCGGCAGCGAGTCTATGTGCCAAGTTTCAGCTCGATAGATTGACGGGTTGTGGGTCAACTAGCCGTCTGAAGAATTTGCTAGCGAGCCCAGCCACAAAAAAGAATTCAGTGGTGGTGAGTGACATAATAATTCCCGAATTAAAATATTGGTCAGAATCAGATTGTAATGGAAATTTTGGTCCAACTTAGTTTACTATGGAAATATTGGTCCGATTCAGAATTTTGTAGAAATATTGATACAACTCAGATTTCGTTGGGGAAAAAAAGTTGACTCTAACTGTTTAGCTCAGCTTTTAACTCTCCCCCCCCCCCCTGTTTTCAACGCCGCAGTTATGACCCTTTTAAATTTTTTTCTCCCTTCTTCGAGCCCAGGGTTCCCATTGAACAACTGGTGCTCCCTTTAGCCTACCCCACCACCCTCAAGCTATTATAACCGGAAGTACAATCGGTTTTGAGCTCTCTGTCCTGCGTTGGGTAGTACTGTTAAGATTCGTGACTTTTTTTCCACCCTCTGAAAGCTGTTATGAAGCTAACCAAAAGAAACTGCTCGACAAAGCGAACTGAACCGGAACAAAATATGGGCTGGTTTAATGAGCTGTGGCCACTGTCTGGTGGCCCGGGCCTGCAATTTTCCGGGGAAAATCCGGTGCCTTTGTAGCAGGGACTCTTAGGATCAGAAATAGCGCATTAGTCTTTAACCGTGTCAGTGGTGGGTATCTGTGGAGTTAATGGGGACATGCACGACTTAAGCCAAGAGAGACCTGGGGGTCAAAAGGATGACATTGGTGTAAAGTCAATTATGGGGGGGGGGGGAGTTGGCCCCCGGGTTAAAAATATGACCCAATTATTTACCCTTGTTAAAAAGAGTTGTCCAATTTGGAACATACAAGAATTATCGTACTCGATACATCTTTTGTCAACAATAACATTTCGCAGCAACAAAAATAATAAATATGGACCTTAAAATATGGACGTGAAATTCCGTGTTTTTTATAATTATTAAATAGTTAAAACCACAACATGGTTTATTAGGAAGAATTGCGGGAATGTGTTTTTCCAACTCCGACCTTCGATTTCTCCCTACAATAAGGGATTCAATAAATCTAATTTTTCCAGACAAATGGATAAATAGTGTACCTATTAATAATCAAAAAAAAAAATCCATGGAATTAAAAAAAATTAAAATTAAAATTAAAAAAAAAGCATGAAGTGCAGTCCGTTTTTTTTTTTTTGGACACTGAAATAAACTGTAGACTTGAAAGCTCTTTTATAAACCTACAAACGGGTTTTGTATCAAATAAGTCTCTTAGAGAGACAGCTGGACATATTCATATTAAAACTATAACTTCAAATAAGTCAATTTGAGCTAAGCTATTATATTTAATTTAGAATATATTCACACATTTCACATTTTCCTTTTTTTTTTAAAGTCGAAAATACTTTAGATCATGTTTTTGTCTCGGATCTAGGCTGAGATTAGTGATATGCGCGGGTAAACCATTTTAGGAGAGAAAAAAAACTGTTTCGTTTCGGAAAGAAAAGCGCTAATCGGTTCTGGTTCTGGTTCTTGTAATGTTTCGTTGCTGCATCCATGTACTGGCATTTTTGCAACGGTTGGGGGTATGATGTTGCTATTTTAACAGCTCCTAGCTGATGCCAGGGCAGCCTTGAAGCTTTAGACTGATGTCGATGTCACAGTGGCATCGTTCAGGTTGTTCCATGCTATTATTGTGCGTGGGAAGAAAGATTGTTGATACTGCACTGTGTTGCACTGAGGCACTTTGAAGCATTTGCTATTGTTTCTTGTGTAATTGTTTATGGGAATGTCAGTGGTAAAGTCCGTGTTCAGTGAGCATTTTGCTCTGGTTGGCTCATATCATATACGCTTTCATATCATATGTGGTTGTTATGGTTTGGCTAAGTAAACATGGATTGGATGAAGATACGATGTCATGAGAGGAAAGAAATAGATTAAAAGAAGGCTTAGATTAAAAGAAGGCTTATAAAATGTTATATTTATAATATTAGGTCTTTTTTAATTACCATTACTCTGCTTAGTTAAATCAATTTGAAAAACAACAAAATAGATTTGGAACCAACCCAAATTGAGAAAAAAAAATGGATGGCGTCCACCTGGCAAGCTACACTTTTTTTTTTTTTTTTTTTCAAAAATGTAGACGCACCCCATAACATAAATCATCTCTGTCTTTTTAGACACAAAAATGCGCAGCAAATGTCGTTCAGTAGCACCACAAAAAAAAAAAAAAAAAAAAAAAAAAAGAGGGAACAAACGGGAAAAATAATATTTTTTTTTTTTTTTTTTTTCAAAAATGTAGACGCACCCCATAACATAAATCATCTCTGTCTTGTTAGACACAAAAATGCGCAGCAAATGTCGTTCAGTAGCACCACGTTGAACCATCACAATTTTTAGGACGCGCCAAAGTTAAAGAAATGTGTGCTTAAACAGTATTGGGACACAGCTGATTTCCGCCTCCGTTGTCTACCTGCCCATGTTACAAAGTTTGTCATGCTTTAGTTCCTGACAAGATGAAGCCTCGGCTAGCAGGCTCTGGCACGTAAGTTGTAGGTCAAACATCTGCGTGGACTCGTGCACTTTAATATTCAGATCATTGGTGGACTAACAAATTTAAAATATTTACACTTTAACAGTTTTAAAGGCAAGGCAATAATTAAATTGATATGCTAAAATTAAATCAATAATTAAATTTGTATAATAAAAGTTTTAAAAATTTAAATCAATTTTGATTTGGGGACTTTGGTCACACATAAAGAAGTAAATAAAAGATTATTTTATAATGTATTTATTTATTGAATGGAGGTAATTAGCACTAAGGAGTCAGAAACATTAAGATGATAATCTTGATATAACTGCTATAATAACATATTCTGAGGTTCGATTTGAAATTGCTCCGCAACGGATAGTAAGTTGCTGGATTTGATATTGACAGATGGAAATTAATACTTTTCATTTTGATAACTTGAGATGCTGGTTTTGACACTGATATTTTGAGATGCTGGTGTTGATATTTGTATACTTTAATTGTCAGATTTAGGAAATGGCCTTTTACTGATACTCCACCGTCTCCTTTGTTTTAAACATATTGGTTGTTACACAAAATAACCGATCGTACAGATGTCTATGCACAGTTCATGGGCAAAAGTCCAGGTTGTTATCGGGTGTTCCAGTCCAGGCAGTCCCTCATTACATTTGACGTAAAACTCGATTATCTCCACTATCTTATAACTCATTCCACAATTTCACTCATGACAAAATCGGAGGATGGTAGGCCAGGCTGATAAGCGCGGTGGCTCGTTGGTGCCACTCGTGGGAGCCGTTAACCAGCATGTCCACTGGACTACTTACGTCAGCGGACAAACAAACTGGAAGATAACTGTAGACAGAAAAAAGAGTCGTATTCAACAAAGAAAGGGTACTTTCGTAAGGGGTGCAGGGTAAAGAGTGTGGCGAAATTGGAACCGACTTGACACGACCGGGGGCGCGGCTGCCCACGAGCGGACCTCGAAGGTCATTGTTGCTGCCAGGTCGAGAGCTGGCGGGTTGGGGAGGGGAGTCCCCTGTCCAAACAGAGTGCACAGTTGTTTGGACCAAAACATGCTAGGTCAAAGTAAAAGAGTGGTGCTCAAAGAGCAAGAAAAGGGTACAAAAAGACGAGACTGGATAATAAACACAACTGATTTACGGTCATACCAGTGGAAAGGACCCCCGTTTTGAGACCAAGGACTGCCTGGCCGCAACAACCCAGAAAGAAACTGTTGGAGTTGGCCACGCTTTAGTGACTGGAACATTTACCTAGTGATAACTTTGCATTCCCTGCCTGGTGGATTTTCCCAATTCGTTCAAAGAGCAGCCCAGATGACGTAGGTTCGCTCTGAGTCAGGCTGCCCTGCGGCTGCAAAAATTAATTTGCGGGTTCGCGTCCTGGCGAAGGTGGACTAAAGGTTCGCGAAGGTGGACTAAAGGTTCGCGAAGGTGGACTAAAGGTTCGCGAAGGTGGACTAAAGGTTCGCGAAGGTGGACTAAAGGTTCGCGAAGGTGGAGCTCAGGCCCGGGTCGCGATTCTTCGTGAGTCGCCGTTCCAAAGCTAGTGTCCGGTAATATTTCAGCAGTTTTATGCTCTCCTTGTGACAGCATACCATGTGGCAGTACCAGTCCTGCATGGCATTATTTCTAACGCTGCATATTGGACTTTTGAGATTTTAAATTCACTCTTCCCTTTCTTTTTTTTTATTATCATAATGTCTACCCGTACTTTGGGGTTACGAGAACTTATTATTTGGATTCGTCCAATGACAATTGCCTTTAGTGGCAGACGCAGCTGATATCCCCCCACCCAGGGATAGCTTTTTTTCCAGGCCTGTGTCATTCCTAACCCTAAACCTTACCCTTACCCTAGTGTGCGTAGTGCAGACGACAGAGACGAATGGAAGAGGATAGTTCACAAGTCATGTGTGGCGCCCCATCGGTGAAAGCTTTAAGGGACATGATGATGATGAAGCAACTGTAAAACTATATGTTCTTTACCACTGTTATCGTGTTATACAATTTGTCTTGATTAGCCATTTAAAAGAAATAAAAATGATTGAATTCTGAAAAAAAAATAAGTCCTTTTCTTGAAACGTTCCTTTCTAACAGATTCATCTCCCCTGTCGACAAGCAGCCATTGCCCTTCACCCAAATCAAGACCCTCGTCCGCCCCAATGATTCGTTGGAGAGCAAAAAAAATGGAGATGACGTCAGCATAAACTCACTGGCCGACCAGTCCATCGGTAAGAATCGGGGATCCCTGAAGTTGCTGAGGCCTACCAGATTCTCTCCTCCCCCACGACACAGCGACAACAGATTCAACAACATCATCCTGACTATACTGTTCCTTGGTGTTATCGTCTTGGTCATTGCATTGATTGTTATTTTTTCCTTGAAATAAAAGTTGACCCATGTTCAGCGTCATCCTTTTTCATACCGGAGACTTTCTTTCTACTCGCATTTCCATCTTGATGGTCTGTATGTCCTATGTTATCTGAGGTGTTATATATATATATATATATATATATATAAATATACAGACGATCTTGAGCTCACTAGCTCTGTTCATCTTCTGTTCGTTCAGTGAACAACTTGATAAAACAATGGAGTTGTTTGGAGGGGAGGGGAGGTATATGATAACTGTAGGATATTGGAATTTAAAAAAATAATTAAATTATAATAGTTCTTTAGTCGATAATATACAGATAAAATATTAATGATTGATGCCAAAATGTAGCAAGTATTTTTTTTTACTTTAAAAAAACACTTTCTATCAAAAACAAGTTTAAATCACTAAAAAGTATAAAATAATTTAAATTTTCTTAAAATTAAAATGCATTACGCAAAGACATTATGTGCAGAAAATGTTTTTGTTTAAATTTATTAAGAAATAAAACATTTAAGTTTCGTACACATTCAATTTGAATCATTTGGCGACACAGAGCGCTCATCGACACTTTTGCAAAGTCTTTCTTTCCTGTCATGGATTTTGTTTAACACTGACTCGATGTTCGTATCTGCTGCATTTGCTAATCCTTGTTCTCTGTATCTGGTGAAGAGACGGATTAGTCCTAGGATATTGGAGTGGAGGGGGAGTGGAATTAGAGGTGGAGTTGGGGTGAAGTGGAATTGAGATAGGGTGGGGTGGAGTGGAATGGAATGGAGTGGTGTGGAGGTGGATTAGATCGGAGGTGGATTGGAGTGTATATGGAAGTAGAGGTGACTGGGAGAGGAGGTGGCGTGGAGATGAAGTGTAGTGGAAATGGAAGTAGATGTGGCATGGAGTGGAGGTGGATATAGTGTGGTGTGGAAAGGGAAGCAGAGATGGTTTGGAGTGGAGGTGTAATGGAGATGGAGTGCTTTGGGAATGGAAGTAGATGTGAATTGGAGTGAAGGTGTAATGGAGATGGAGTGCTTTGGGAATGGAAGTAGATGTGAATTGGAGTGAAGGTGTAGTGAAGATGGAGTGCTTTGGGAATGGAAGTAGATGTGAATTGGAGTGAAGGTGTAGTGGAGTTGGAGTGCTTTGGGAATGAAAGTAGATGTGAATTGGAGTGAAGGTGTAATGGAGATGGAGTGCTTTGGGAATGGAAGTAGATGTGAATTGGAGTGAAGGTGTAGTGGAGATGGAGTGCTTTGGGAATGGAAGTAGATGTGAATTGGAGTGAAGGTGTAATGGAGATGGAGTGCTTTGGGAATGGAAGTAGATGTGAATTGGAGTGAAGGTGTAATGGAGATGGAGTGCTTTGGGAATGGAAGTAGATGTGAATTGGAGTGAAGGTGTAATGGAGATGGAGTGCTTTGGGAATGGAAGTAGATGTGAATTGGAGTGAAGGTGTAATGGAGATGGAGTGCTTTGGGAATGGAAGTAGATGTGAATTGGAGTGAAGGTGTAATGGAGATGGAGTGCTTTGGGAATGGAAGTAGATGTGAATTGGAGTGAAGGTGTAATGGAGATGGAGTGCTTTGGGAATGGAAGTAGATGTGAATTGGAGTGAAGGTGTAATGGAGATGGAGTGCTTTGGGAATGGAAGTAGATGTGAATTGGAGTGAAGGTGTAATGGAGATGGAGTGCTTTGGGAATGGAAGTAGATGTGAATTGGAGTGAAGGTGTAATGGAGATGGAGTGCTTTGGGAATGGAAGTAGATGTGAATTGGAGTGAAGGTGTAATGGAGATGGAGTGCTTTGGGAATGGAAGTAGATGTGAATTGGAGTGAAGGTGTAATGGAGATGGAGTGCTTTGGGAATGGAAGTAGATGTGAATTGGAGTGAAGGTGTAGTGGAGATGGAGTGCTTTGGGAATAGAAGTAGATGTGAATTGGAGTGAAGGTGTAATGGAGTTGGAGTGGTGTGGAGATAAAGGTAGATGTGAATTGGAGTTGAGGTGGAGTGGTGATGGAGCAGTGTGGAGATGGAAGTAGATGTTGTGTGGAGTGGAGGTGGAGATGTAGTGGTGTGGAGATGGAAGCAGATGTGGCTTGGAGTGGAGGTGGAGATGTAGTGGTGTGGAGATGGAAGCAGGTGTGGCTTGGAGTGGAGGTGGAGATGTAGTGGTGTGGAGATGGAAGCAGATGTGGCTTGGAGTGGAGGTGGAGATGTAGTGGTGTGGAGATGGAAGCAGATGTGGCTTGGAGTGGAGAGCAAGTGGAATTGAGGTGGAGTGGTGGACAAAAGTCATAGGAGATATAGATATGAATATATGTAAAATAAAAAAATATTTAAGTTTTGATGATTCACCCTCCTTAGACCATTTTATTCTGTGATGATCACTTAAACATGTTCAATTGTATAGTGTTCAATTGTATAGTGTTCAATTGTATAGTGTTCAATTGTATAGTGTTCAATTGTATAGTGTTCAATTGTATAGTGTTCAATTGTATAGTGTTCAATTGTATAGTGTTCAATTGTATAGTGTTCAATTGTATAGTGTTCAATTGTATAGTGTTCAATTGTATAGTGTTCAATTGTATAGTGTTCAATTGTATAGTGTTCAATTGTATAGTGTTCAATTGTATGGAGTGCTTTGGGAATGGAAGTAGATGTGAATTGGAGTGAAGGTGTAATGGAGATGGAGTGCTTTGGGAATGGAAGTAGATGTGAATTGGAGTGAAGGTGTAGTGGAGATGGAGTGCTTTGGGAATGGAAGTAGATGTGAATTGGAGTGAAGGTGTAGTGGAGTTGGAGTGCTTTGGGAATGAAAGTAGATGTGAATTGGAGTGAAGGTGTAATGGAGATGGAGTGCTTTGGGAATGGAAGTAGATGTGAATTGGAGTGAAGGTGTAGTGGAGATTGAGTGCTTTGGGAATGGAAGTAGATGTGAATTGGAGTGAAGGTGTAGTGGAGTTGGAGTGCTTTGGGAATGGAAGTAGATGTGAATTGGAGTTAAGGTGTAGTGGAGTTGGAGTGGTGTGGAGATAAAGGTAGATGTGAATTGGAGTGAAGGTGTAATGGAGATGGAGTGCTTTGGGAATGGAAGTAGATGTGAATTGGAGTGAAGGTGTAATGGAGATGGAGTGCTTTGGGAATGGAAGTAGATGTGAATTGGAGATTGTATAGTGTTCAATTGTATAGTGTTCAATTGTATAGTGTTCAATTGTATAGTGTTCAATTGTATAGTGTTCAATTGTATAGTGTTCAATTGTATAGTGTTCAATTGTATAGTGTTCAATTGTATAATGTTCAATTGTATAGTGTTCAATTGTATAGTGTTCAATTGTATAATGTTCAATTGTATAGTGTTCAATTTCAAAGATGTGACCGCAAAGATTACCCAAACCTAAATCAACAAATTGTTTTATTACTTGGAAGAACAAATTAAAGGAATGTTATCTGACAGCATTGATTTGTTTTCAATGAATGGAAGGTGCTAACAAAAACAAACCACAAAATAGTAATAGTTTGCATAGTGTTTTTAATCATAATGGTTCAAACACAGAAACTTGATACTTTACACGCATTTACATACTTTAAGTTACTGCAGTTTACTTGAGTCTAGACATTTTTCTGCATTTTGGGTTTAGATTTGCTCTTGGCGGTCTTGTTGTAAAAACAATTTGAAGAGAAGAGTACCCGGTATTCTGCTTCACTTAATTTTTTTTATTTTTTTTGTTTTCAAAATTTCCAATGTTTGAAGGACTCCTTTTTATGCAAAAAACATGGAGTACAACCCCCCCCCCCCCCTTTTCACCCCACCCCCCCCCCCCCCCCCCCCCCCCCCCCCATTTTTTTATTTTTTTTTGTTTCAAAATTTCCAATGTTTGGAGGACTCCTTTTTAAGCAAAAAACATGGAGGACCACCCCCCCCCCCCCTTTTCCACCCAATCCCACCCACCTCCCCCGCGCCGCACACACACACGCAAATTCTCCTGAAAATCACAGGCAACTCATAGTTATTTATTATTATGGTATACTTTATAATAACTGAAAACTATAAAGCAAAGGTAGATAATCATTAATGGTTGGTAAAATATCAAAGACAGCAGAGTTACTGTACAAGAATTAGGAAATGTGTGAAACAAGGTTGTAAGACCTGGAGAAAAAAAAAGGCAGAAGCAAAACAACGGACGTGTTGGCAAGAAGCCTTCTTTAGCGAAAAAAAGACTTGTTTAAGAAATATAATTTCCTTTATCTGAGTGGAGTGAGCTAGAGGAATATTCTAAAATTACTAGACTAATATTAATATACAAGAATTATATTAAGATACAAGTATCACTATCACGTACCACTGTACAGTGGCCGTGGTAAAAATAATGAAAGTAGCCCTAATAAGATTTTTCGACTTTATCTTACACTTTTGAATTTTATGAATTTCAATTTTGTAATTAAAAATAAACATTATTATTTTTAAATATTTTGTTTTATTGAAACTTAACACAAGGCCGTTTTGAGATTTATTATTTTTTTTATATAGTTAAAATAAACTGAACTGCGCAAGCGCGTTGTGGTAGACGCCAATTCTAACTTCCGTATTTTGTTTGTATGCTTTTTTTCCAGAGAGACGATCCAATAAAGATAGTCAATGCCAGCACGCAATAAAGTTGGTATTGAAATTTAAACAATACATTATTTTTACGATTATTTTAAAAACATTGGTAGTAGTTTATCCATGCAAAAGCATTTATACCGACAAATTTAATGCTCAAATAACTGTAGCCCTAACTCTACTAAGTCATGATAATGATACGAATCAAGTTCAGACACATTATTTTTTTTTGCTTGTTCTACTTATAATGAATTCACAGTCTTCTCTATGAATATATGGTGATAGTAAGAATGGAGTATGCATTTTCAATGGCATCACTAAGGGGTGCCACAGTTATGAAATTATGGTTGTACACACCATGAAAAACAAAAGCATGACACCAATTTCCCAATCACTGAAGGTGAAGGCGAAGGCATGCAAATTTCACAGAGTTCCCTTGGCCTTGAGTCTGTCAATGTTTAATAACTGATGATAGTTAAATACAAGACATAAGCATGCTGCCATCAGAGCATCTAAAAATTCTGGTGTTGTTTACAAAACTAAAAGGGAAGCGTTATACGCAGTCGGCTGCGTATAACCCTGAGAGTTATACGCAGTCGACTGCGCATAACCCTGAGGGTTATTCACAGCCGACTGCGTATAACTCTCAGGGTTATGCGCAGTCGGCTGGGAATTTAACCAAATAAGGTTTATCAATCGCTTGTTTGGCAATTTAAAAAAAAAAGTATGATACGTAATGAGCTGCATGATGGATTGTTTTGAACTAGAACTTTGGATGTGTTTAACGTAAAATTGTAATTGAATTAATTTTAATTAATATTGAAATTGATGATAGCAATAGTATTAGTATTAGTGCTATTATTAGTATTAGTGCTATTATTAGTATTAGTGCTATTATTAGTATTAGTGCTATTATTAGTATTAGTGCTATTATTAGTATTAGTGCTATTATTAGTATTATTACTTGTATCTTATATATTATAATTATAAGTATAAGTCAAAGTCTACATTTCTTAGAGTCTAAGCCTAAGATTTTTTTAAAGGCATTTCCATGGTCTAAGTCTAGTCATGTATTTTGATTGATTAGGTTGTTGCTATGGCTATGACTATGTGGTTAGTTTTACTGACTAATTCAGGAAATACATTCTATTTATCTTTTTTTTAATTTTATCATTTATGATTTTTTTTTGGACCTAAATGTAACAGTTTTCAGCTTCCATGCAAAACTATAACTGTGTGAATGTATTACTTACAGTGCCCCCTCTACAGAACCCCTGCCCCTACAGCGATTTTTTCCCTGCTACTCTCAACCCATGATTATTTTTATTACTTTACCAGTGAAACATGATTTTATCTGCCACAAAATTAGTTAACAACACAAAATAATATTTGATAATTATAAGTATAACATTATTAACATTACATTGGTCAAGTTAATAATTCTTCTTATGTTTTAACATTTTTTAGCCCCAAAAAAAGTAAAACAATAAGCCTAGTTGTTGCTTCATTCTCGAAAAAAAGCATAGCAACTAACGTGTATTCATGGCTTGCCGTTGGCTGGAATTGAACTCAAGACCACCAACTTGAGGTTTGGTCAGTTTAGACCATTCGACCACCCAGTCAACCCGATAACAAGACACACTTATTGATTCATACTGTAACACAGGAAGAATATAGACGTCACGTGACTTGCCGACTGCGTATAACTCTCAGTTTATTAAAGCTTGGAGTTGGAGTTTTGGGGGTTCAATCAAGTACATTCAAAGATGTTTCGGCTGATAATTTAAAAAAAAAATTGAAAATAATTATTTCACAAAACATTTATTATAACAACTGGTATGCAGTTGTAAAAAGGTTGTCAAATATTGATGGACAGGTAACAATAAAAGATTGCTATCTTTATTAACTAAACTAAAGTAGGATTGTCCGTTTTTTTCATGATCGTACCTGTTGTCCCGAAAAAGTCTTTTAGGACGCCTAAATGTTCCGTTTTTTAAACCAAACACATTTTCAAATCACTAAAACTTCCTAATTTATAATATAACTTCAAATTCAAGTAATATTTTGGCTAGCTGTGTAGGCAGTGCCAGTTGTGATGTGAGCTCATATGATGGCTGCGCTGTTCCCCCTCCACCATAGTGTCCCTGCCATAGATCTTATATGTAAATGTATAGCGAAAGACATAAAGACATGAGACTTGAAGCTGGGGGGGGGGGAGGATGTAACTTCGCAGAAACCAATTTTGATTCAGCTACCGTTACGTATAATGTGCTAGTCTTGTGTGTGATCCCTGCCTGTCTGTTCATGTCATAGTGACAGGTGGGTTTTTTTGGGTGTTGAACTTTATTCTTTAATTTTATATTATCTTCTCATATAGACAATAATTATGCCCAAGCGTAAGTTTATGGAGGAGTATTCCAAAGAGTGGAACTATATTAAAAAGGGATGCTATGTAGCCCAGTGCACAGTTTTCAATAATGTTTTTAGTATTGGTCATGGTGGATGTTCAGACATAAAACACCACATCACATCAATGAAACATATGACATAGGAAAAGACTGAGTGCCCCAAGTAGATTTCTAGCTTAGATTTCATTGTTAAAACGAGCATATTTCAATAAACCCCTCTTTAGCTGGAGGGTATTCCCCCCAACCACCACCACCAAAACCGTCCATGAAAGGTCCTGTTTTTTCCATTTCATGATTTAGTCACCCTAAACTGAAGCCTAAAGATTCTCCATCACTTATCACTGCTTTACTTTATCAAAAAAGTATAATACAAATAAATAATTTAATACTTTAAAACATAAAAGTCACAATAATTCTAAAAAGATCTACTACTACAACACACTATGACTATCCGACAATATTTCAAAGACTAATTAAATCTTATTGGAGAATACTACTTTTTTAAAAAAGTTTATCTATGTATAGAAAGCTCCTTAAAAATTAAAAAATAGAAGATAATCATAAAATTAGGTCATAAAATTTAATATTTTTTCTTTTCATGTTTATGAGTTTCTTTAATTAGTTGTATAATTCTGAAATAATTTAAATGTGTCAAAACTATTGTATTTTGTAGTTTTCTTTTTAAAAATAATTTTTTGGGGAATTTGGAAATTAATTTTTTTACAAGACCTACTGTTTCTCTGACTATGCCTTTGAATGACCAATGCTGGCAATAGATAATTTTTATTTGTTACTAGCCAATAAACCTGGTATTGCATTAGGACCCCAATCCCGGTGCAGTCCCGGTTCCCGGTGTGATCCCGATGGGATCACGTAACAGATGGGTTCCAGTTTACTGTTGGATCTCTTGCCCCCTTTGGATCCTGTTCCTCTATGGGATCATGCTCCGTGCGATTTTACTTGAATAAGCTTTTAGATACCATTATATACCATTATATATCCCATTAGAACAATATAGAACCTTCCAGATTAAATTTAATATGATCCATGAAACTTGTAAAAAATTACTTTTCTACGTAATTATTTCTTGACTGTGAAATATTATACAACTAAATTGTACTACTATAACTATAGTACATTTAAATTGAAATAGGGGTCCCGGTGGGGCCCATTAATAAAGTACTGTTTTAGTTATGTCTGAGCCCTATAAAAATCATTCAGATAAATTATACAGTTAAAATTTTTAATTTGTCCCATTAAAGTCGGTTTAAAAATGCCATAGATATAGCTTTTCAAAATTATGGAACTTTCTGGAAAATTCTAGATTGGATATTCTTAGTTTTAAATCCAACGCTATTTTAATACGGACAATAAAGTGTATTGCCACTTTGATATGCCTATCCATCAATTCCCATAGAACCTATTGATATTTATAAAGCTTATATAAGGCCCCAGAGGGATGGATATTATGAGTTCAGTACCCATTGGTATTTGAATATGGATAATCAAGTTTATGTATACTAAGTTTAGTCAAGATCCATGCATTCATGTAGGATTATTTTTTAATAATTTTATCTATATAGCTTATATAGGATAAAAAAACAAAGAGTTTGGGCCTCCGGCCCCAAACGGAATGTTATAAAAAGTTCATAACCCATTAAGAGTTCCTTCCAGATAATGATGGATATATGTGCCAAGTTTGGTCAAGATCCATCTATCCATGTAAAAGCCTTTGTGGAAATAACCCACAAATTTTCACTTTTATATATATGTATGATATGATATGTTATGATATTTTATCTCTCCATAACTGGAAAAAATGTAGCTGTGATGATCTTAGCAATAGAAAGTGGCAAAGGTATAAATTTGGCTTCTGAAAATACAATTAATTTTCAGGGTTCATCTGCATACCAGACCGATTTTCAATGGCATTCATCTTTCAGAAGCAAAAGTTTCAAACCCCTTCCAGAACAAATGATGTATCCTGCTGGACTGGCATCTGTATATTTAAGTGCGTTGAGGTCTTATTCTGAAACAGTTTTTATGCAATGCATGGTGCATGCTTTAGACATTTTGTATAGGTGTCTGCTCTTTTGCGTAATTAAAACAAAAGGAAGGCAATTGCCAGAAGCATTCAATAAGAATTTTTTTTAACTTTCCAAAATTGTAGTTCCAAATAGTTACAAAATTGTCTAACCAAGAAGCATTGGAACTCTGAGTAGACTAAATGAAATTGTAAAATGTTTTGCCTTCAACTGCTGCCCTACTCTATTCCCTCTCCCCTGAGTGAGTCATTCAATTAGTGACTGGCGTCATTGTTGCTTATTTAAAAACCAAATATGCACTGATATCGAAATAACAGTTTTAGATGTGCTTCTCTTTCTCTTGACCGAACTTTTAATCTAATAGTCAAGGTTTCATATTGGCTCGCAACAAGGGTTTTAGAAAATTATAATAATACATGGAGATGAAAATTGCGATACAATAATATGCTGGATATATTTAAATTTGTATCCCTAATCTAAGTACATTAATTTTTACACACCTTGTTCGCCCCGCATTTGTATATTTAAAAGTTAATGTGAGTACCTAATAATCGAAATAGTTTTTGAAGGAATAAAAATGTGGCAATATCTGAAAAATGTGTTAAAAGTCACTCATCCTCCTTTATACCAAATAAATGTCACTCCACCTCCTTCATATCAAGTTAAAGTAACACTACCTCCTTCATACAAAATATATTTAACCACAAAAAAAACCTTTGATTATTGATATTTTTTTAATTTAAAAAAATAGTTATTTTATGTGAAAAGAAATGGTTGCTACTATTCCTTTTTTATATACCGGTAAATGATTTAGAACATTTCTTGAGTTTCTGTGGACAAGAAATTTCGAAGACATTATAAATCCAAGAGAGTATATAAATGTAAACATATTTCAAATATTACAGAGTACATCTGAATCTTAGATGAATTTATTTTTAACTTGACAAGCAAGAACAGCCAATATGGAACCTGCTTCAGGTATAAAGTAGTGCAGAATTTTTTTTTTTACTGCTTATTTTGCACGTTTTCTATGTTATGTGTGTTAAATTTCATGTTTCATGATAACAGTGTATACAATTCTGTCTGAAGCTAATTTGCACCATTTGTATAGGGGGATTAGATTTTTTCAAAATGGGGTAAAATATTTATTTGAACACCTTAAAAAATTATTTTATATAGTTCTACAAGAATAAATATTTATATTCTATTATTTTAAACAGGTTTTTATTAAAAATCCATTAAGGTGCTAAAAATATAACAATAATTAAAACCTATTACTTTTAGTATACCTATATTTTAAAATATATTTGATTTCAAATAAATAATAATTAGAATTTAAAAGGCACACGAACTTTTGACATTGCTCTACCAATTTAAACCCCATCTATTGACATGTCTGGTTAGTACATCTACCCCATTTCAGTTAATTTTTTTTAATTTGATTATTTTTACAGAAGTTTTTGTTTTCTTTTCTTCTTTTATGCTTCTCCTTTTCCCCAATTCTTTCTGTGCTGAGCATAAAGATTAATATCATTCAGTGGCTTACCATTAATGTCTAGTATTATTTATTAGAATGCAACGCTACTTCATATTTGGAATGGTTAGTTACTATCTTAAAGTTAAATTTAAAATTTAACAAGATGAATGCATTTTCTCTTATAAAATAATTTAATTACATTTAAGGAACAGAAACATTTAAATGCTAAAAATTCTATTTCATGTTATTGCATACTGTTATATGTTATTTTAAAATTTTATTTAAAATAAATAACTGTTAAAAATTATTATTTAAAATTTGAACATAAATTAATTTTATTCTTTAAAGTAAGAAGTGCAATTTTTATTTTAATTGAGAAAATGTATGATCCTTAATTAATTACACGTCTCTTTTATTTCACAATAAATTGACAATAACTTCAGAGTGATTCTCATTTCTCACAATAGATACTGTTGAAGAACCCACATTGCAGCATAAAAAACATATTGAGGGACGGCCGGCAGCTTTATCAGCTGAAAATGTTTTTGGTATTCTCAGCCAAGTTAATGCATCGTCAGGTGTGTTAAATCTCTTAATGCTTTAAATTTATCTATATTACTAGACCTTAAGAAATCTAAAGATGTATTATTTTGAAATTCATCTGTTATGTTTAATGTGAGTCTGTTTTGAATATACCCATTTTAAATTTCAGTTGCAATATTCATTTAAAATTATTTGGCTTTTAGGTTTGTCTCAATTATTTTAGAGTTTTTTTTTAACTTTAAAAGCATGATTTATGATCTTAACAAAAAAAATGTTATTGTTTTTAAATAATTTAAACAACACAGAGGACTGATTTGGTGGAATAAAATATATCTGCCATTTTATGCAGGCCAATTGAGGCCTGAATAATCCAGCTATTAAATGAAGCAATGCAAAGGAGTTTATATTTTTTCATACTTAAAAGTTGATAGCATTTTGACCTTTGAGTATTACCATGTCACAATTTGGGTGACACTTTAAAAAAAACAAATGATCTGAGAAATACTTTTTACTTTAAATTTGCACTTTAGAGTATATGTTCATTTTGTAATGCCATTAAATCATCCGATCATGGATTTTTAAAATGTGCAAGCTCTTTAAATGCATGTAAATTTACTGCAATTGGAGCAAACCTGATTGATATTAGTATCTGTGATTCTTATCTCCTCTTTCAGGTGCAGTAAATGAGCCTGCCCTGCAACACAAGAAACGAGTTGAGGGAGCTCAAATCTCACTGTCAAAGGATTTTTTTTCAGCTCCTCCGCAAGGCCCTGAATTTACTCTGCTAGGTGCATATTTTGATTTTTTTTTTCTCAAGTATTTGTGATAATTTTTCATTTACAAAAAAAGCTATCTGATTAGGATTTTGTAAAATAAATTATTCTATATGGTAAGGTAAAAGTCAATACTTCCACAATACTCTGATATCTAAAGATATAGTTTTTTGGATATTGTGTTTGTGTATTTTTTTGTAATTTTTTAAGTTCTGCAAGTGTCGACAAACTTTTTTTAGCCATTATCACAAAATTTATTTGTTTAAGCCGATGATACCCGCCCATTTGAAAGGAAAACATTTATAGACTATTTAAATTCAACATGGTTTATTGAATTATTTTATACAGAGACTACAATAATAAATAAACAAGGATATAATTTCTGTACTTAATACAAATTCTCATTGTGATACTTAAGGGTTTTTTGGAGCAAAAAAATTCACTTCAAATTTTGTATAAATGATTTTTCCTTTGATAAAAAGACATAGATGTGGATTTTGATATCAAAGAGTTTAAGATACTGTATGTTTGGGTTAAATATTTTATTTCTATGCTTTTTTTTTAAATTTCTGATTGAAAATTCAAGTCCTTTTTCAAAAGCTATGTTGTTGCAAAATTCTTCAAATTTTTAGTCTCCTGGTTAAAAATTTTGAAAGCCTTTACATATCTTGATGTTTTGGGCATAAGCAGTAGCATCACTAAAGGGTGCGGAAATGCAGACTAATCTGTGACACCCTCACAGGGGTATGACACCTGACTAGTGAATTTGACAGAGCTTAATCAAGTTGGTTTCATAACACATCAATTTTAAATAAAAGAGCAGGGTGCCACATTTTAAATACAAGAGCAGGGTGCCATAAGAAAAGGGTGCCACCCAAGTAAGATACCACCAGAGCAAGGTGTTATCAGAGCAAACAGGCTGGAAAGAGGTCCATGGGGGATGTGTGGGTCGGGTGACACAATGAGTTAACCCCACTAGGTGACTCCAACTCTAATGACACCCTATAGCATAAGATAAACTTAGCGACTGGGCAAAAATGAGATACACAAGAGGAGACGTGAGCATATGTTAACTGCCAAGCCACCAGTAACCACAGCATATTTGGTATGTTTCTCTGTAACACAGGCTAGATGCAGGGACATGGGGCTTTTAATATCATTCTATCTATGCGCACCGGTATTAACTTTAAGCCCACATTGCCGCCAAGATTCTCATTGCCGCCAAGATTCTCATTGCTATCCCATTTGGGGTAATAACCCCAGTTTGCTGACCCCTGATCTAAATTAACTTCATACGTTGCTGAAAGGGATTATTTTAATGTGGTTAGGGATTTTTAATTTCTGTTAAAATGTCGTCTAATATTTTGACACTCATGACTTTTCAAGCATCAGTGGGTTTTTTTTTTACTACTTCTGTTTTAAACACTCAACAATGCAGGCAGTTTTAGAGTTGAATCATTTCTAAGACCTATAAAGAAACATTTTTTAAAAATTAAGAATAACACACTTAATTTAAAGTCACTTAAACATGTAGGTTCAAAGACCTACATTTTTTTTTTTTTGGTTGTATTTACAAATTTATGTGATATATTCAAGTAATTTCACCTTCTTTTTACAATTAAATTTTATTAATGGTATCTTATCTCTGACAAGGCCAGCAAGATAAATTTGCACCCAATGTCTGCTACCAACCTAAGCAATCCTACTCGGAAGAGAAAATCTACAAGAATCGAGAAAACCTGGACAATGATGCTCCTCCTAAAAAACAGCTTAAAATGCAGAAAAGAATTGTAGGCTTACATTTTATTTTGTATAATCATTCTTTTATAAAAGTGGACATGGTAATAAAATGTTAATGCTGTGTAGCTGAGGGCAATTGTTTTTTTCACTGCCTTAACTTACCCCTAATGTGGTTGGCTCTCAAGCAGTATAGATTGTATTGCAAAAAATCAGATTTTAAAAAAAAATCAGTTTAAAGTATGTAGTTCCTCTCTTGTTTATATTACTACTATTCATATTTTTATATTTTACATTTAGATTCTAAGCTGTTTCCAACAATGAGATTTAGAAAAATGTAACATTTTAACCCTGCTAAGTAAGCCTTAGAAGTTTATTTATTGTTATATGGCCTTAATTGATTTTTATCATTGATCTCTAAATGTATTTTGGAATGATGTCAATATAATGCGCAGTGATCAAAGCAGTTTGACTAAAAGAAATAATGATTCACAGAAACCACTCATTAAAGAGCGTCATCCACCCAACAGCAGATCACCACCTGGCAGGGGTTACCAGCAGCATGACCCTGACTCACCTCCCCCTGCGCCCAGGGGTCACAGGGATAACCTGGAAATCAAGGTATTTTGTTGAGCTACTGGGTCACACTGAATATAAGTGCAGTTACACCAGAGTTGGAAATATGAACCAGTGTTCCAAGACTTTGATATTTTGGTTTTAGAACTAGTATTTGTACCCAACTTCCTCTAACAATATGTTACAAAAAGCATTATGTATCAACAATAGGCCAGCATTATGTATCAACCATAGTCAAGCATTAAAGAAAGAAAAATACTAACTACAGAATCAGATCAAGAAATAAAAATTTGGAAAAATAAATAAATGATTGTTTGGGTTGTATAACATTTAGATCCATTGTAAGATTTTAAATATACTTGACAAAATGCTGAAAGAGGCGATTCTCCCCAGATTTATCTTTAAAAATTTAAATCCCCGCTGTTTAAAATGTGTATTCCTTCATGATGGAGAGATTAAAGAAAATATGAGCAAGGATTGTTGTGTATTTTTTTAGATGTATGGAGCATGTTGTTTGTGTGATTAATCACCTCAATATTTTTTTCATTTCAGGAGGCCATGAAAGACAAAGATCTGAAAGATGTTCTTGGAGGGCAGCGAGCATCAAGCAATAAACCAGCATCATCTCAGACAGAAAGTTCTGGAGAAAAACAAGCTGCCAGCCACCAGGGACCAGTCGGTCACGGGGCCAGGCGTGATGAACTCAAGCAGGCAAAGAGAGCAACTGTTCCGCTGGATGCTGAAGCCAAAGCTCCAGAAAAAGCAGCTGACCCAACAAGAGCGACTCACAAACCCCAGGGTGAACCAAAGAGGCCTCTGACCAATATGAATGCTTCTGTACAAACAAATGTGAAGAAGGGTGTGACCATAGCTTCTCATGAAGCCCCGGTAATTGTGGCTTTTTATGAATTTGTTACTTGGGTTAAAAAAAGACATCATCACATATCTCCATACATAGTGTATTTTTTGGAAGAGATTTAAATGGAGCCTGATTTTAGGTTAAAATTAGACCTGCTCCATTTAGGAGAAACTATAAATTATCTTGATTCCTTAGAAAAGTTTTGAACCACTATAATAAAATTATTTCTCACCAGCTGTGGTTCCAAACCCTTTGGGCCTTGTGAAGCCATAAGGGCTCTGCGTAGCTGTGGTTCCAAACCTGGGGCCTTGTGAAGCCATAAGGGCTCTGCGTAGCTGTGGTTCCAAACCTGGGGCCTTGTGAAGCCATAAGGGCTCTGCGTGCAATTCTGAGTGTTTCACAGCAGCTTCAGGAAATTTCTTAACACCATTAACTTTTAAGACAATAAGACATTTAACCCCCCCCCCCCCCCCCCAGAAATTGGCTCTAAGAAAAGGTTACGGGTGTCAAAAAGCTTGGGCATTCTGCTCTCAAGTATATTAATGTATTAGAAACTTCAGAACTTAATACAAACTTAACTGTTGGATCTGAGAGTTGTGTTTACAGTATTCTGTGTTGTGCCTGAATCAACTTTGTCATCTTTGTTGTAAAGATCATATCAGACCTGTTTACTCTTACGATTTTGGCTTACAATGTATTATTTTGAGGTGTATACATTATAAATACTGCACGTTTTTTTTCCTATAAAGAGAATGTATTGAATGATTCTGGGATGATATTGTACGATTTAAGAGTTTGAGGGTAAACAGGTCTGTCATATAAATCTGTATATCATTTGAATTTGTTCAATGTATTGATGAATGTAAAAATAAGTATCACTAGTTTTTGATGCTGCATTGGTAAACTGTTTAACGCTGATTTGACATGGTCCCATGTTTTAAACTCGCACCCATTGGACTTAGTCCCATATTTTGAACTCCTTTTCCCAATTTGACTAGGTCCCAGTGTGTAGACTGTTTGACCCTAAATTTGATTTGGTCCTAGATGGTAAATTGTTTGAATCCTATTTGACTTTGTTCCATAGGGTAAATAGCTTGAATTTAATTTGATTTGGTCCTAGATGGTAATCTGTTTGACTCTAATGTTACAGGCTGACTATGCCTTGAAGTACAAAGCTGGTGTTGCACCTCCAAGGCCACTCCAAAGGGTCTCAGAATACCAAAAACAATTTCAGTGGAAAAATGGTCTGAAGACATCCCCTCTCCTAGCTGCTGAGCAGGTGATTTTTTCATTGTTAAATGACAGATTAATGAGTGCTAAAATGTCATTACTGGAAAGTATTATAAAACAAATGTACAACCATGCTTTTAACTGCAGTTTCTACATTAAATTATTGGTAAGAAATATGAAACAACAAACTTCTATTTAGCTTTATATTTTGACATGATTTGGCAATATAGTTTTATAAGAATAAAGTCTTTAGGTGTATAATTGTATATGCTCTAACAGTATAGATGCATATGATTTAGCTATACAGATGTATATGCTTTAGCTTTATAGTTTTATATAATTTAACACATTTTTGGCACAACCCCATTTTATAGAAGCTAAGTGACCCCTGACTCCATTTTATATAAGTATAAGGTAAGTGACCCATGTCGCCCATGACACCATTTTATATAAGCTAAGTGACCCCTGACCCCCATATTATATAAGCACAAGCTAAGTGACCATGACCCCCATTTTATAGAAGCTAAGTGCTAAGCTGATTTTTCAGTATAATGTAATTAATATAATTTTAAATTGAAACATATTTCATTGGATGGATGAAATGATAACTTGTTAATAAGCTTCACAATTTGCTGTCAAAGCCAGCCTCATGTCATTGTTTAACACTTGTTGTCTTTCTTCTTTCTTGGTTTTTGTCTTACAACTAAAGCAGAGACATGTTCAAAACTAAAGGAAGTATTATGATAGTACTCAAACCTTAAAATAATGATTACAAATGAAAATTGTTTTGAATTCAAAATCATCTTAAGCTCATTGATTCCCTGTGTGACCAAAACATAAAATTCATTGCAGCCCTTTTTGCTGTCCCAAATCATGGTTTGGGAGCCCTTGTGTTAAAGTGAGCCCAGCCCTATGCCGGGGTACCGCGCTATATAAGACCACTTATTATTATTATTATTATTATTATTAAACCCTTTTTTTTTTCAAGTATGTGTTATAGAGCACTTTCTTATGTTAGTATCATCATCTATTGCTCAAAGATTGTTTACAACAGTCAAGGCAACCTAGGCCCATACAAGTCAGATGGTGTGCCAAAAGTGTCTGAGTATACCCGTCAGTTTCACCCCTGGCAGCCCATTGGTTACCATAGTGACATTAACCTGAATGCCAACAACAGCAGCAATGTGCAGAGAGGTGACAGGAAAGCCCAGAAAAAAACCGTGGTAAGAATTTACTGCATCTCATTTCAAAAAACGAAATTTTGAACAAGGCTGGCCATTTTTAATTTAACTACAACAAGCTCCGAAAAAATTATCATGTTTTCACTTTTTTCTGTTTCTCGGTTGACTTAGTTCAAAAAATCATTTTTCTTTATAGAAAATGGGAAGCCACTTGGCTGCAGAATTGCATTTAAATTGTAGAAATATATTATATCCTTCTTAAGAATCAAACCCTGAAACAAAGTTTATTTCTACAATCTAATAAAATTTTGTCACCACTTTTATCTTCCAGGTGAAAAGAAGCAAGAGTGCTGGTGGTATGTGTTTGTTTCCTTGCCTTTAAGATTGGAAATAACTAATGGCACGGTGAATCGTGTTATTTACTTTGAACTATGCCATTCACGCAGCACTGGCCAACCCAAAAGGTGTCACTGGCCAACCTAAAAGGCTTCACTGGCAAAACCAAAAGGTGTCACTGGCCAACCCAAAAGGCTTCACTAGCCAACCCAAAAGGTGTCACTGGCCAACCTAAAAGGCTTCACTGGCAAAACCAAAAGGTGTCACTGGCCAATCCAAAAGGCTTCACTAGCCAACCCAAAAGGTTACACTAGCCAACCCAAAAGGTTACACTGGCCAACCCAAAAGGCTACACCAGCCACTTTGATGGGGAGTTAACTTATCGCAGGCCTCATGTCATTGCACCTAATATTGAAATAAACACCCACTAAATGCTGTACAGAATTACTTATTGATTTATTTGTAATGTAGACACCAGGAAATGCCAAATAATAACACAAACTTTGGTGATATTTTTTATCTATCTCTTCTCTCACTTAACTTTTTAAAATTGATCTATTTGTGATTTGAATGAAGAACCAGGACGTTTATCTGAGATATATCAGGCAAACGCGGGCTGCTACATTTAAAGTGAAAGGCCACCAAGCCGCAGCTTGGCCGCCCCTGGCATATGCATCATTTTAAATTTTATTAACCTTCTCACAGATTGTTTCCTTGCAGATACAGTGGCAATTTTTTACAAAAGCTTGACAGCAAATCATTAGTCATTTCTGTGTCTTTTCTCAGCTGTGCCCAGATTTGATACATCTTTTGAAAGTGATTTTGAAGAAAAATCTGTGCAGACTGATGCTCCTGATCTGAGGGATAAGCTGAAAAAGGCTCATGGAAAAATCAGGTGGGATAATATTATTTCTGTTATTTGTCAGCATGTTGTACAAAGCTGAACAAATCAGTGCAGCACTTGTATTTGTGTGAATGACATTAAAAGGAACATGCTTTGGCAGAACCAACGTTGCCTTTTTCATACAAGTTATAGATTTTCAACTGTCACCTTCTTACTCCTTACACCTGGTGTATTTTTTAATAACACCACATGCAATGTGTTTTGTTCTTATTATCCGTCTCTCACAAGAACTGCTTGTCTCGCAAAATGTGTTCATTAAAGTCTTATTTCGTTGACTTTTTCAGGCACACCGCAACAGAGTACAGGGCCAACTTTAAGTCACCAGCTGGATACAGTTATGAGAATGGGGCCTGGAAGGGGGCATATTCAGCCCAACTGATCCTAGTAGGTCTCAGAATAGATTTGTTTGTTACATCATCATAGAAACGACTGACACAGTTATCTTCAGGGAAATGGCTATGTCAGGCCACCCACAGTTAGTTTCAGGGAAATGGCTAAGTCAGGCCACCCAAAGTTGGCTCAATCACACAACCCAGGTCACTCCTAGTTAGCTTAATCACACAACTTAGGTCACTCTTAGTTATTTAGCTCAGTCACACAACCTAGGTCACCCTTCGTTATTTAGCTCAATCACATAAACCATGCATCATGTCTTATTCTGATTTAACAACTAAAAGCTTTTTTCATTTTAAATTCTTTCTTTTCTTTATTCCATTTTTTTACCGAACCTTGAAAAACACTCTATTACTAATAACATTTAAAACATTTTCTCCCATCTGTTTAAACATTAGTTTACATGACCAAATAGAACAGGGGGCGAAGTTTACAGCCAACATGCCATCACTGTAGGGGTAGATACACGCTATAAATGTAGGGGTATATATACATGCTATCACTAATTGGGGTAGATACAAAGAACTGAGAAGAGTAAATTCATTCTTTGACACTGAATTTTCAGGATGGTAATGGAAACTTGAATAACAACAATGAGAGAAACAACAACAATGAGAGAAACAACAACAACAATGAGAGAAACAACAATAACAACAATGTTGATCCACCACTGTCTAGTTGGTATGCAGAGGTCATTGAACTTCGACGTAGGGCAGAAGAGTATCGCAAACGAGCGCAGGGGACTCACTTTTCTCGTGAACACCTGGTTCAGCTCATGGCTAAGCAGACTGAATGCTGGGATGCTAACTCTGTGGAATCTTCGACCGTTGGTGCTCTGAATTTAGAAGCTCCTACCCTGAGGTATTCTTTACGTCTTTGATGCAAGTGGTGGATTTTATTCTATATGTCTTTGATACAAGTGGTAGAAGTAGTAGAATGTATTCTTTACGTCTTTGATACAAATGGTGATAGGTAATCTACATGTCTTTGATACACATGTTAGAAGGTTTTCTACATGTCTTTGATACATGTGGTAGAAGGTATTCCACATGTCTTTGGTACAAGACAGTGGTATACACTACTGTTGCCAGGAAGTTAACTGAATTTTTTTTTTACATGCTGCATACAATTTAATTTTGATTGTATAACTAGTAGTAGCATCCATTTGTTTTATAAAACTTGATGTTACTTCCAACTGATGAAAACTAAGTCATTGAACTATGCATGCAAATCAAAGCCTTAGCTTACTATGGCTAGTTTATACCATTTCCTAAGGTCCCGCCAAAGGGAACACATTATTATAATGTCTGGCTATCTGATGAGTACCTGGGTTCATTGATGCAAAACAAACTAGTAAAATATGAAACCAAATTTTCAGAGAAAGGCTTCGTGCAGCTCCAGCCAATCACCATGTTCCTGTAGACAACTGCTCTCATGAGGCAACGGACGGTGACGTGGCAGATGATTCGGATGTTGATGATCCAGCTGGTGAGCGATGGGCACAAAATGAAGAAAGGAAGAAGAGGGGGGCTCGGAAGAGCAGAAAGATGGTGTGGCTAGAAGAACAGAAGCAAAACCTGGCAGAACAGAGCAGGTCAGTTACATTGACAGAACAGAACAGGTTTGTTACATTGACAGAAAAGAACATGTTTGTTACATTGACAGAACAGAGCAGGTTAGTTTCACTAACAGAACATAACATGTTAGTGACATTGACAGAACAGAACAGGTTTGTTACATTGACAGAAAAGAACATGTTTGTTACATTGACAGAACAGAGCAGGTTAGTTTCACTAACAGAACATAACATGTTAGTGACATTGACAGAGCAGAGCAGGTTAGTTTCACTAACAGAACATAATATGTTAGTTACCTTGACAGAGCAGAGCAGGTTAGTTTCACTAACAGAACATAATATGTTAGTTACCTTGGCAGAGCAGGTTAGTTTCACTAACAGAACATAGCATGTTAGTTACCTTGACAGAATAGAGTAGGTTAGTTACCTTGAAAAAAACAGATCAGGTTGGTTACATTGACAGAACAGAGCTGTTTAGTTTATATATGTTTTTTATAATATTTTGTGTGTACCTCTCATAGCTTATGTTACCTGTTCCTCAGAATGTACAACCCCCACATGAAAATCCCATGTCAGTGAGTACACAAAATGTTTTGATTTTTTTTTTTTTTAATTGTCTCCAGAAGTTTGAAAGAAAAAATCAGGCAGCAGGAAGACTCTGATGATGGAGATTTACAGGATGCAATTAATGAAGGGAGACTACACAAATCTCCCACACGACAGCAACATTCTCCAACTATGAGAAGACACCACCTTGACCGCACCACACCTGCCGTGGGTGGAGCCATCCTGGCGTGCCATCCCTCTAAGAGCAGTAAAATGATTGTTACGTCCCGTTCAGGTCAATATTTCTTATTTCAACTTCAATAATAATGTACTCCATGTTCATGATGATCTGGGACAGGTAAACCTACACTACCAGACCTGTTTACTGTTATGATTTTGGTGTACAATGTACGATTTTGAGATGTTTTTTACAGTTGTACACTGAAACCTGTCAGAACTATGATTTTATGGGTTTAAAAAAATATTCCTTTGGTTTTTAACGATGTAAAAAAAAAAAAAAAAAGATTTTAAAATAAACAAAACAATGTTTTTGGTTGTCAGTTACAGCTCTTGTCTACATGCCGCTGTGATCGTACAGATGAATATGTACAGATACGTGGGGATCATTTATAACTAAATTACATATGCATTGAGTGGGGAAAGGGGTTGGGGTTGGCTTTGAAGAGTACAGGTGTGTATGGGAGGAGTAGGGAGACTGTCTAGATATTTCTATAAGCTGTAAGATAACACCATTCGCATTTTGTAATGATCCAGATATAGTTGTTTTGTGTCTTCACAATGCACTCGCTAGATACAGCAACATTAATATTTAGCACATGCGCTCTAGTGATTCATTTAGTTAGCATTTGCTTTTGTTTGCTTTGATACTATATGATGTAATTTTGTAGCATATTTATTTTGTTCTGTGGCTGAAAGGGGGGGGGGGGTGTGGATTGGGTATATGGAGAAAACAAAAGATTTTTATTTTAAAAATCTATTCTTAACTACTTTGCACAGCAGTGTTACATTTTGACATATATTAAAAGATCTAGTAAGAAGCAGTTGAAATCTATTTTTAGAAGTCATTAAGCAGCTGAAAAATTTTATAGCCCATTTTTGTTCCAGCACTTCTCTTCCCTTCTCCCAATACAGTTTGTGGGGGTTATGAGAAAACAAAATTTTCAAGCAAAATAAAATCAGGCTCCCAGGCTTAATGCAGAGATGGGCAGCTATTTTTTTTTTTTCACTCAGTATTTTAAAACATGTTGAGTAGGGGGAGGGCCGGTTGTGAAAAAAGAAGCCGCACCAGAAGCAAAATATATATAAGAGATAGTCATGTGCTTTGAGAAGTGACCTCTGTTACACAGGCGATGTGAATAGTTAACGTAAACATCACACTGTATGTTTATTTATTTACTATTCTCTTAAGGTATTGTACAACTTTGAGATTGTAATGTAATATTCTGAAACTATAGTGTAGTATTTTGGTATATCCTCTGTAAACAGGTCTGCAATACTTACTGTTAGTTTCTCATTCAAATACATTAATTTGCTTCAACTTCCTTTAAATGTATTTTTTATTTAGGAGATTGCTATGTCACTGCTTCCGATGAGTTCCCTGCTACAAAGCCTCTGCTGAAGGTAATTGTAGTTAATGTTTTTAACCAACCCTGGAGCAATTATGTGTACACCATCTGACTCAAGACCAGAAGGTTGGGTGTTGCAATTATGTGTACATCATCTGACTCAAGGCCAGAAGGTTGGGTGTTCAGATAACTTTTAACTTTAACTAGTTAAGTCAACTCCCGGCTGACCTAATTAAACAAAAACTTTCCGGGCTACCTTAGCAAAAAGGTCATAAATATGTTTTAAAAATGTGTAAGTAATTTTTTTAAAAGAAACAAAATATAAAAGAAACAATGTCATTGTTGTATACATTTTTATTAAATATAAAAATAAAAATGAATGGAATGCTATATTCACAATAAAAAAATAAGGTTATTTATAAGGGTTAATTAATGAATGTAACAATTAACAAGTTCCGATAACCTTTTAACTTAACTTGATAATCCTATATACTTAAAATCTGATTTGTGGTCATCTCACAAATATCTAGAGCTACAAAATGGATCAATTTCTGACCATGCCCACACTTGGCCTACCGTCTGGGGACTCTCACCCTCTTAGGGATGACTCGGCTGATGTGGATCAACCCTTGAAAACACAGTTTGTCATCTCACCACCTCTCCCTCAAAGTGATGAAGGTATGATATATATTGCAATTAGATGATAGAATACCGGACTTAAATTCTGAGATAAAATGCATGACTTTACCCTTTAAGTTTCATAATAACAGAACATGTGGTGTCACGGCTGATACAAAGCAAAATCGTCATTAAAAATGCGAAAGGTTTAATGTATATTGGTCAAAGGGAAATCACTATATATAAATGAGTTTACTTCCTATTTCAGTTACTTCCTATTTCAGTGTGTTAACATGCTTTTATCTAGGATTTTTTTGTGATTAATCGGCCTGTGAAATTTTCTCAAATTTTTCAACCGTCATAATGTCTAATGCCGGAGAGGGCCCCCCTCTAGATTGCAAAATCAACACAGAATTTCTTTATTGGAATTATTTCAAATAAATTAAAATGAAAGCAGTGATTTCAGACTTAACCCAAGTGCTAGTAATGACAGTATTAGCTCTAGCGGTGATGGTGGCATGAGAGTCATATACTGACAATATTAGCCCTAAGCTTAGTCATATTACAGACAAATTTTTTTTGGAAATGGAAATCGAACAGAAAAAGATAAAAATTTTATCGCAAAGACCTACCCTAAAGACATTTATGTTTGTGTATGTTCTGGAATATTAATAAATAAAATATGGATTTAATAACTTAAATGGAAAAGGAATTTTTTAAACTCATTTCGTGCCCCCCACCCCCTTGCAATTTGTATGACAGAAATTTGAAGGTAGCGAATGAAAACAAAAAACACTAATGTTACAATTTTCAATATAACTAATGGTAACTTGACATTTTCTCAAAGAATGTTGCTACTAGTATCTCAGAAACTTGATTTTATAATGTTTTGAACAATTTATAGGGTATGAAGTGATTATGAAGGGTAGGTTGAATTCAGAAGTGGAGTAGTAAAATTTTACTCTCACTGTAAATGTCAAGGTCAATATCAACATACATACGTAATGAAAAAAAAAGTTCTTTTCATACCATAAAGATACATTATCTCATGAACTTTCAAAAAAATGTATACTTGCAAGGGCCTCTGAAATCATTTAGTCTGACAGTTATAGGTTTATGTCAGTTCTTTTTAAGGAAGTAATCTGATCACTGGCACTTGTAAAATAAACCAAAAGCTGTGCCACTACTATGGGACCATCTTCATACAGTGGTTGGTATGATACATCAACAAATGAATTTTTACAAATTTCTGGTACTCATAATGTAAATGGCCATCGTACAGGTCTCCAGTGTACAAAAATACTGGTTGAAGTCAACACCATATCATGAACTTAATGTGCACGCAACCCCCCCCCCCCTCCATTTTTTTATAATTTCCAAGCAATATTTTTATTTTGTTAAAAAAATAATGACTCCGTGAATAATTGCATGTAAAATAATGTATGTTTGAAATACAAAGTTGTTGGCTTCGACTAGTGTATTTTTTTATTTCTAGTTTTCAATACAACATCCTTTTAAGCTCTTTTGATATTTAAATATTAAATTTTTTTAACTTAAGATACCAGATCATTTACACACCCAGGTAATTCGATAAAATGGGTAAAGGCCACAGTTCGGATTAACAATGTCTTACTGTGTTGTTTTTTTTAAAATTATATTTGTATCTGGTCAACACACCCAAAAAATGTTCTCACTATTTTTAAGTGTTTTACTTGTACGTTTTAAAAAAAAAAAAAAATTCTACAAGTGCCAATCATTTCCTTACACATGTATGTTTGTTGAACTTTAGACATAGAATATAAAAGTTAGATTATAAAAGTTACCTTATGTAGAGTCACTAGAAATATCAATGAAAAAGTATGGGAATGTTAAGAGTTAAAATATTACCAATATTATGTTTCTTATTAATCATTATAAAATTATGTTGGTTTGCCTTTTTTTTTTTTTTTTTTTTTTTTTTTTTTTTCTTTTTTTATTTTTTTTTTTTTTTTTTTTTTTTTTTTTTTTTTTTTTTTTTTTTTTTAGATAAGGAAAATGAAAATGTACAGAGAAAACCAGAGAGGAGGAGAAGAGCACCAAAGCCAAGTTATTTGACGACTGTTAAAGAAGGCTTTGGAGAAACCTTTCAAAGAACCAAACCTAGTGTTAGCCTAGGTATGAATAGTTAGAGTTTGTAACTTTGGAAGTTTGGGATAAACCATTTTGGAACTCTTGTAAAACACTAAAAAAAATGTGGTTATCAATGGCGATGCAAAAATAGCCTGTTGGCATCATCAGTACTGGGACACCACAACATAATACTGGGCCAACCCTGGTCATATCATATAGTACTATACAAAATGAATCTGGAAAAGGGAAAATTTATCCTAGAAAATTAATTTAAATTGCAAAATTACAAATGCACATTATCACTGTGGACATGTTATCTCTGATGACACCTTGTTCATGTTATCTGTGTATATTTTATCTCTGTCAACATATTCTCCCTGTGACATTTTATCTTTGTGTACACCTCTGTGGCCATTTTATCGCTGTCCACATGTTATCTCTGTGGACATATTGTTATCTGTATCAACATTATCTTTGTCCATGTTACCCTTGTGTCCTTGTTATTTATCATTGTGAACATATACACTACTTTAGCAGTTTGAATGTTTACCAGTCCCAATGATATGTACTTAAAAATGTTGTTGTTTTTTTTAAGTATTTAAAATATAAATCAGAGAATCTTCAATTTGTTTATAAAAAATTAAACTTGATACAAAAATTATAGTCGCCTGAATCTTGCAAATTTCTATGAACAGATCTCAAAGCCAGCAGACAGTCCCCTCAAGTCATAGACGATGATGTTTTGTCAGAGTCCTTGTTATCAGTTGCATCCAGTAGTTCATTGGCATCTGAGATCCTGGAGCGAACCAAGCGAAGACAGGAATTTTGGAATGAGACAGGTGCTGGCCGTTAATGAAATACCTTTGCTCACAATTTTTTATGGTCCACTGTGCTGCAACTGTTTTTTTTAAAAAACAGGAAATTTTAAATTTTTTAAATTTCAACTAAAGTTGATATATTTTGATATGAGTCAAAATTAGTCAACAGACTACAAATACTACAATGAAGTTAAACTCTTAAAGAGCTTAGGAATCTCAAATGGATGAAGAGTATAAAATAAATAGAAGCCAGAAGTGTGACCAATTCATTGTTACTTTATGTCCCATAATGTTACATAATTAGTTTATCTTAGTATAAATCAGCCTAAAATGAGAATGGCTTGTACTTTTTTTTAAATTTATTGCTTCATAAAAAGTAAAACTAATTCATTTTTGTTCTCTTTCAATTTATGGCTCTGTAAAAAAAAAAAAAAAAAAATTTTTGTTTTCTTCAATTATTGAATTGATGTATTGCTCATTTTCATACCAAATGCTCTTCCACTCAAATTGTTTTTCTCTTTATTCCTGTGTATTTTTATATGGTCTAATGATATCCAATTTAATTGGATTGAAAGAACATTTTAATTAATTTTAAACAAAGCAAAGTTAACCCTAGTTTAATTTAATTATTTTGTTAGACATTTACAAAACTTATAGATAATTATTTTAAAAAGCATTTTGCTTAATGAGTTTCAACAGATTGCATTACTTGGTCATTGTAAAATCTAACTAAGAGTGTTCCTTAACTTGAATCGCTATCCATTCATTGAATGGAAATCATTTCAAAATTCAAAATATAAGATGTCTGTGATATTCTTTTTATGCTTTGATTATAACATATTTACATGTTTGTTTATATGCTATAAACTAAAGTAAAGTATGTTATTATGTAGTCAAATATTTTATAGATTTGATATTATGTAGGGAACATATAATAAAATAAATTTTGTCCTCATGGTTATTGAGAGTTGATATATGGAGTTGTCTGGAAGTTTGCTCTGTTAATGACATGGGACTTTAAAGGCATGTTTAAAATCTGTTTCTTTGAATAGGTCTCAATAAATGTAAAATAGCACTGCTAATAGGGATATAGTTCACAATAAAAACCTTAATCCCTGAAATTTTTAGGTCATAAAACTTAGGATATATAGATAATCATTATTCTGTTCCAGTATCCAAGGGCAACACCCACTGGTGAAGGATATGTCTTAACTGATAGAGATTTGATAGCTTTGCTGTTAGTGCTATTGATATCAGGGCTGTTATTACAATACTGTAGGATCAATGTGTAAAAAATTTATTATTAATGGCCTCAACTGAAACCAGAACCAAAATATAATATCCTTGTCACCTGAAAATAATACTAGAGGGTGAGACAGATTAGTGACTGAATAGAGGGTTAGGTATTGTGACCACTAGTGGCTTAGATTGTGTGCCCACAGACATAAATTTTTATTTAATCTATATAGTCATTAAGTTACAATCACTTCCTGTAAAATTTCATGTTTTTCAACCTACCACATAAGGCAGTCGCAAAAATTGACATATTGAAAAATCTTTTTTCTATTTTCGCTTAGAAGTAAGGTAGATTTTTTTTTTAATTATTAATGCACATAAATGATGATTTTATTTAATAAATTACAATTTTTACATACAGCAAAGTTTAATTAAAACATTTTGTCTAGGTGAACTCAAAATTTAATTTTTTGTGAATCGATTTCAAAATATCTCTTAAAATTATTCTTTTATATGGATTAAGTCACCAAATCAAATTTTCATGTAACAATTTTTAAGAGAGAGAAACGTAATGTAGTCCAGAGTTAGCCAGAAGGACTTGATTTTTTTACTATGCCTGGGAGATTTATTTTTTAAAAAACAGTTGGGGAGAAGATCTGTCTTTCAGTGAGCCAATGCATTGACGCTCAGATTCAATTGTGGTCCACCAGAGTTATAATACCACCTACAGGAGATGCTTTCCACAGTGGTAGCTGTTTTTGCCCCATTACAGCTCTTTGAACATTACACATATTGGTTTTTAAATTACTGTTGTCAAAAATGTATTCATTCTCAAAACTTCTGATATAGACTTTATACCATAAAAAAAAAAACATTAATAAGGTAATACTATTTCTAAGACACATTAAATGAAAATCCTAGAGTGTAATTCAAGTAATAGCAACCACTTCAATCTACTCATATACAATTTTTCCTATCTGAAATTTATTTTATGAAATTTAATATTGACAATGCACAAACACACACACAAAAGAGAAGGCTGAAATAATCCTTGTCAACAAATTTTAATATAGCAAAAAAGATTACAGAAAAAAAAAGTTTCCTCCATCAAAAATATTTAACATTACTTTGTAAGATGTCTACACTTTTCAGCTAACAAACAATTGAAGAAAAATTCTTTACACATTTAAAAAATACAAAATTTTTAAGCATGAAAAAAAATCACAAAGAAAACTTCCAAATCACATTGTATTAATATCATACGCAAATGTCTGATTAAACAGATTTAAACGAAAGAAAAGGATACAACTATAAACTAACATCTTTCAAAATAAGCCTCTTTTTTCTAACCCAATGTATGGAATCAAAAGGTGGAAAGTAAGATGTTTGTGCGAGATACCATATGCAACAAACTACATTTCTACACCTCTTAAGCCTTTACTGAGATTACTAGGTGCTCTGAACAACTCGGACCAACAAATAACAAACATAGGTTACAGGACAAGCCAGAGTTATGTGTACTGTACACTACTGGTAACCAATGAATACAGATCAAATATATCAAATTTCACATTATTTCTAATGACAGAAACAAACAAAAAATAATGTGACTTGAGGCTGAACATTCATAGAACCTTTGCTCTTAAGCTTTCAAACTCAAGCAAATACAACTCCCTGCTTCTGTGACCTCTGCTGATACACCATTGCATTGGATAAAACATGTATTGTACAAAATGTGCACACAATATAATTTAGGTACAGCCCCAATGGTTACTTTTATCTATATTAAAGATATTTATATACTTAAGAAAATGGAATAGGAAGAAAGTATATATTATAAAATATTAAAAGAAATAGAATACTGAGCCCAAAAATGTGTTTAACTAAGTATTCAACTTAGCAAGAAATTTTGATGTAACTGAAAAAAAAACAACTGAAAATGTTAAAACTATTGCAAATAAAAGTTTGAAATTATGAAAAAGTGACAAAATAACATTTTAAAATATAACAGTTCATCCCTTTACATAAACTTTCCTGTGGTCCACAAATAAATAAAAATATCCCAGCTTTGGAGTAAAGACATGAATGTTTCTTGAGCTAAGATATTAAACTGAGAGAATGTTGTTCACTGCCTTGACAATGCAAGCTGCACTGATGCCATATTTCTCCATAAGCTCCTCAGACTTCCCACTCCTTGGAATTTCAGGGACAAACAAACGTTTGACTATGATGTTGGGTTGTTGGCTAACAGCACCAGCAACTGCCTCACCAATACCACCTGTTGAAAGAAATGATGCATTTAGAACACATAAAATGAAAAAAACTTTAACAATGTTCTTCACTTCAATCAATTCCAATAACATTCAGAAGTCCGCTCCTGATAATTTCATATTGAAAAGTTCATTATATGTATATTTTGCTTTCTTTTCCAAACATTTAGCAGTTATATTTGATGAAGCAATAAAAAAATACTGAATGATTCAACCAACTCTGAACCAATCAAGCCAATCAAGCCAATCAAGGATGATGCACGAGACACTCATTCAAACCATGTGATGCAAATATCGGAACAAGATGTATAGGCATGGAATGAAAAGACACGAAAATTAAAAAGACGTTAGGGCTCCATGCTAGACTTTAAAAATGCCACTTTTTCATAATGTAAAAAATTTTGTTGTTGATTTTTCAGCAAATTTTATAATCAAATAACCTTTTTGTTTATTGAGATATTTTTTAAAATACAAAATTGATAAGTTCTGTCAGGTGAAACTCTTTAGAAATGTCTGGCATGGATATTAAATTTCAGGTTCAACTACCTAATGAGAGTGGGGTATAGTGTTAACCTTCAGCAAGCTGAAAAACTGATTCATTCTTCTTTTGCAATATTAATTAGTTGCCCTAGGAGCACATGATTGGGCAATCATGTACTGGCCAATCTGCCAAGAAATCAATTCCTCAGAAGCTGCAGAATCAGGTCAATACAGACAGCTCCCACCTTAGCCCCAAAAGGAGAGACAGGTCAGCGGCACCCAAGACCTTCCAATTGCACTGCAAGTTGTTTTTTGTGCCCCCTTTGTCATGTGTCCTCTTCTCCAAATAATCCAACACATTTTGCTTCATCCTATTTTAATAGGAGACTGACCTTCAGCGTAATGATCCTCAACGGTAATGATCTTCCCACCAGTCTCCTGGGCACTGGCAATAATGGTGGCAGCATCAATGGGTTTAATGGTGAAAGGATCAATCACTCTGATATTGATGCCGCTCTCTGCCAATGTGTCTGCGGCTCTCAGGGCTTCATAAAGAGTGACACAGGACCCTATCACAGTTACTCGATCAGATGAGCTAGATTTAACTATCTGAAAAAAGAAGATGAGAAAATACAATGTTACAAAGAGTTCTTTTTACTTATTTCAACATCTTCGACACACTAAATCAGTGGTTCCCGAACTTTTAAGTTTGGCGGACTGGTGAACAAGTTTCGAAATTTTACCAGGGACCGGTGCATGATTTATTTTTATACTTTTATTTCTATTTGACAATAAATATTTATGTTATGGGGAAAGCCAGCGTTAGTCATGCGGACCGATGAAGGTCCACAGACTGCCATTTGGGGACCACTGCACTAAATGACCTTGAAATTAAGGGAATTCAGCCATGTTATACTCTAAAAACAAAGAAAAGCAATTTATTCATGAACTTGTAAGACATACAAGGCAATTAAATGAAGTCAAGTCCTAGTAAACCAGTGTTTCCTAGCGTGTGGTATAGGAGGCCATATAGTCTAATGGACAAAGGTGTAGAAAGAGGTGGCGGTGGCTTTATTTCTTTCTTTATATGGAGGTGCTGCATTTTCAGACAATGGCAGAGTTGTTAGTGTGGTTGTTATTTTTATCCTGTGTCACAAACCCTAGCTTAACCCCAGCCACGTCACTCCTCTGGGATAAAGGAAAAGTATCTGAGGTTCCCAAGCGGGCAATGTGTGATGTTCAAACAACAAATATCTTTAAGTGAACCACTTTTATTGTCACATATGGGAATACAATTATATTTCACTTATAGTGCGTTTTATCTAAGGACTAATAGTAGCAATAGGGAACTAAATTTAAATTTGAATTCAATGTCCTTTACCGTTGCATGGAGACCTTTTAGGCCTCAACCAAAGGGGTGAAGGGGTGGTGGTTAAGAAACTTTTCAGGTGTTCAGTTTGAGCATGGGGGAAAAAAATTTTTGAAAAGCCTGCACTGTCATAAAGTGTTAAAAATTTTGTTGCAGGTTAAATTTGCCCCTTTTTCATCCTTTTTTTTTTTTTTCTCTTTGGTTCAGCCTAATGAAATTATTATGTTACAAATTATGTCACTAGCACCCTGGACCACAGTAGGCTAAATATTCTGTTGCAAAATCTGGCAAGTTATTTGCAAGAACACAGAGCAAAAGTAAAGTATGATGATAAAAACAAAACAATGTGGTAACATTTTTACAGACTTTTTGAAAATATTAGAAATTGTGGAAACAGCAGGCTTATTAGAGATATTAGAGAATGAATTTCAGGATGATTTTGCAAACTTTGTTCTATAAATGTACATACTTTCTGAAAAGGCTCACCCCACTGCCAAATACAAAAATCTCAATAAATCAACAACCCCCCTCAGTGTGTACATAATGTATGGGTGCCCCCTAAATGAACAAATGGGAGATAAAATTCCAAAGAAAAATAGTTCTTTTTTTTTAAATTTTGATCATTGCTAAGCAGCTTGTCTTTTGACAAGCAATTTATGTAATATAAACAATTTTTGAGGATCAAAATTAATGCATCTTTTGTTCTCTTGTATATGTTTTAAATCAACAAAAAAATGTGTGACTTCTAATCTTTTCTTGTAGCATCTGGAATCACTATTTGATCTAGGTCAAAACACACCTTAAATTATGTGTGGATCTCCATTATTAATATTAAAAATACTTACTTCTATAATACAATATAGATTCCATAAGTTACTAATGATATACAGGTCACTTTTTGTTTACCTTTGCTTTGCCAACCACAAATGGCTCTTCATTGCTGTAAATAACTGGCACATTAGGCCTGCTTGTTCGGATAAAGCAGACTCCCTTTGTATTGGCAGCCAACTCAACAGCTCTCTCGGTAGAAACAGCATCCGATGGGTAGAAGACAGTAGAACCAGGAATAGTGCGGAACATAGCGATGTCTTCAAGAGCCATTTGAGAAGGTCCATCTTCACCTATTTTAATTATATATTAAAAAATGGCTCATAAACATGGGAACATGTTTTAACCCCCAAAATGTGATAATGGAATTCCATCAATTTACAGTAAACTACTAGGCATTCAGTAACATAAAAATAACACTAATGTTTATAGAACTCTTGTTATTTCTGTCTGATTAGTGAGCTGCGCTACATTTGTGTGTGTATGAAGTTTACAGCCTGTGTTAATAATAAGATATTAAAGTTACAATTATTGTGATAAAGGACTTTATTCAATTTTAGTATGACGTATATCAACACGTGAAAGAACTTAATGAATTAACCAATCCAGTAGAACAGGGAGTTGACATTCAAAAAGAGGGATTTGAAGAAAGTAAAACTAAAAAGATTGCTAGATACAGGGTAAGATGGAGTCTTTGATGGACATTTTTTTATCCACATTTCTACAGAAAAATAGCTATGCAAAATTTGATTCTGCATTCATCCCTTTAGAATATGTGTTCCATTTTATTCAGTATTGTAATTCGCTGCTTTAGTTTAAAACATGTAAAACCTTTGACCTACTCCCAGAAACCTATGGCCTAAAACCTGCTAAGTCCTACTGTAAACTGAATGTGGGTGCAGCTTATTAATTAAAGAACAAAGCAATAAACATTTCCATAAAAGCCTTAATGTTAAGGTTAAAGAAGACATCTGTAATTTATATATTATTTTAAAAAAAGAAAGGGGAAGGAACATTACAGCCACCCTGATTACACCATTACCTTTTCATCACATGCAACAACACTATCACTTGAGACATTATCAAATCCTTACCAATTGAGACATTATCAAATCCTTACCAATAGAAACACCAGCATGTGAGCCTACAAAGTTTGCATTGGTTTGGGAGATGGCCCCCATCCGGATTTGATCAAAAGCTCGAGTAAAAAATGCTGCAAATGTACTAATAAATGGGATGGTGCGATCTCGTGTGCCACACCCGATTCCAACACCAACAAGATTCTGTTCAGCGATGTAACATTCAATGAATCTTTCTGGAAACGCATCCTGCAAAATCATGAATTTAGTGAACACCACATTTAATTGAATGTAATAAAGCAGAGGCTGCATATTTAGCTGGGACAGCCAGGGAAATATTACAAGCCTTAACAGTTAACGTTTATTTGTGAGCTTAATTATAAAAAAACATGGAGTTATTGGACTTGAGGTATCTGTGACAGGTTGAAACTTATTTAAGTTTAAATACACAACCACACAGAAACTGACCTTGAACTTTTGAGCATATGTTGAATTTTTGGTGTCACCATCCATTGCAATTACTCGTTGGTTTGATTTTCCTAGTTTGACCAAGGCTGTTCCATATGCCAGTCTGGTAGCAACCTTAAATAAAATGGTCAAAATGTTAATTATAGAGAAAAAAAATTCATAGTTATCAGTCAATTCAAAAGAAAATCATATATTTTAATATGTTTAAAACAGGAACAGGTCTTTGATACTACTAGTCCCTTGTTAGCACAGTTAATAATTAAAACAAATTTATCAGAAAAAATGTTAAGGTATCCAATGTGCCTCACAGTTTCTCCAAGCTTGTATGAAGGTGGTGTGGAAAGCTGAACATTTGTGTTAATAGGTGATAAGTCAAGTGTTGGCTGTTGGGCAATCAGTTTATGAGGGCCAGTGTTTGCCATGTTCTCTTTGATGGCTGCAATGGCAGACTCTGCTTTGTCTCCAAGAGGTTTGCCATGCCAGTTCTCAACATCGGCAACACCTATTAGAGATATAATAAATATGACTAGATGAATTAGACCATTTATTTAAAAGTAAGTTCAATTAAGAATGTATTAATATACTATTAAAATATATTGAATAAATGCATTTAATTTCCTACAATCAACATTATCCAATTATTTTAGTGTCCGCACACATTTGGCCTATTCAATATGTTAACTTTTATGTAGCTACCCTCTGCTATTTTTTAAATCTCCAGTCTTTTGGTACAAGCATATTTTCTTAACAATATGACAATACCTGGAATACCCTGTCCTTTGTATGTTTTAGCAAGGATGCATGTTGGCCTTCCAGAGACTTGACTGGCCTCCCACAGGGTTTTGCACAATGTTTCTACATCATGGCCATCAACCACATATGTATTCCAGCTAAAATATAGAACCATCAGTAACTAAAATGTAGAATAGCTTTATAGTTTTAAGGGTGCCAACATGAAATCAACATACAATTTCATAATTATTTAAATGATTCGAAATGATATCAAACATGTTACCTACCCAAATGCCTCTACTCTAGCTTTGTACACATCCAAATCATGACCAAGACTTGTTGCCTCACTCTGACCTAGACGGTTTACATCAAATATGGCCACAAGGTTGTCCAGTTGATAACGGCTTGCAAAGGCAAGGGCCTCCCAGATGGAACCCTCAGCACTCTCACCATCACCAATGAGACAGTACACACGGTAGCTAACAACATAAAAAATAATTGGCATTTAATTAACTACTTAGAAGTTCAAATGCTGCATCGTTCCAAGTATAGGCTGCACATGATTATTAGCTGTGTTCTTAGGTTTGGTGTTCACACAGAGATGGCGCATGAGTTTTGGAAGCCACCTGCCCCTTCTAGGTTTTTTTTATCCCACTGAATTCAAAGTTGATAGTTTAAGTTTGTCCACATCAGAACTTTGTGCCCTTAACTATCTAAAGCCACTTGCAGCAGCAGGCCTTGCTCTAACAGCTCTGTGGTCACATATACCATTATTTTTATTCTTAAAATTTTATTTTTGTAACTTAGCTTGTAGACAATAGCCCTAGTTTAACTCATGAACTATCATAATGGCCAATCATATGCAATCAGCTTCTGTGGTGTTACAGCCGAAATAATCGTCCTCTACTAACATTAATACTATAAATGCGAATTAGAAGTTTTACCAATTTTTTAAAAGGGGGTAACTCTAACAATTATGTTTTTATAGAAAACTTAGGTTAATATTTCATGTGTTCACAAGTTTTTTTTTAATTTTTGAATCCAGCCTAAATTTTCAGTTTTCATTTAGTTTTAAAACTAGCTTATAAGACTCAGATGTTGGCTCTGAAAACAAAAGCCTAATTTATATGAATTATTTCTATAGTAGAGTGATTTTGAAGACAAGTTTTGTTGGCATCACTCATGGTAGTGATAATTACGAAAGTGGAGCTAGCACTAATAGTTGCTGTCAAAGTGTTACAGGTTGAAGGAATGAAAAATACTGTTCTAATGAACTAGTGAGGAATTTTAAAAAGAAATATGTAGGTCACCAATGATTTTTTTTTTTTAAAGATGTATAATCTCAAATAACTTTATTATGTTGTTTAAACTGAAAGAATAATGTTTCATGGGGCTGAAAAACTTATTTAGATGATAAAAAGGACCCAACAGTCAGCACAATTGTACTCACTGTAGAAAGGACAAGGTCATATTCATTTCACATAGCTTAAAGAATTCCAACATAACACAAAATTCCTTGTCCAATTTACTCTCAGAATATCTATACTTATATGGGTATCTGAAATCAGCTTGTATTAGTTTTGGGGGGAAAAAAATGGCATATACTTGGAACAATGCAGTATATCTTTTGTAAAATTTAATTAAATAACTAGGATTCAATCTACAGCTGGTAAAAAATCTATACCCGAAGCATAACTTTTAAATTTTATTTGAAACAAATTAATGACTTACTCAGCCTTATCAAAGTATTTGCCAGTATATGCCATACCAGCTGCACAGCTTAAGCCCTGGCCAAGGGACCCTGTGGCTACATCAACAAAGTTAAGTCTCTGTAAATAAATAGTTACCGGCATACAAGGAATGCAATGAAACTATTCAATTAACAATATGGGGAACAAGTCAAAAAAAAAAAAAACTGCAAAATTACAGACTTTTAAGCATAAAGGGAAATCCTAAAAAAAGATTCCTGCAAACACAGTACTGGTTGTTGTTTTTTTTTTTGGCAATTGTCAAATTATGCATTATATTAATTTTAAAATAACCCTATTGCACAATGTGTAAGATTAGTGCTAGTAGTGAAATTGGTGACAGTTTACCATGAATACAAAATGTAAAACCTATAGTCGTGTCTTAAATACTTATGTATAACACAAATACATTAATAATGGCTTAGGTCTATAATTTAAAAAAAAAAAAGAATAGCTTTTTAATTTATTTTCCTTTAATTTCTTACAAGTTTTAACATACTTACAGGCGTCGGATGACCTTCAAGATCAGATGAAAGTTTGCGAAGTTCCAGCAGATCAGAAGCAGGGAAAAGTCCTGCCTCTGCCCAGGCAGCATAAAGAATAGGTGCTGCATGGCCTTTTGATAGCACAAAGCGATCATTGTTTGGGTGACGTGGTTCTTTGATGGTGTAACGCATTGTATGGAAGAACAAAACTGACATGATATCTGCTGCTGAACAGCATGATGTCGGGTGGCTGATAGAACAATTAAAAATAATAATATAGTTTATATCATGGGTCTTAGATGTTATCAAAACATAACTTTGGGACTTGAAATAAGAAGACAGGGTATCATGAAAGATTATTTGCTTCTCCCTAAAAGTAGATAAATACTTTGTGGCAAATGTGCAGGGGTGAGAGAGGTCTTATTTAAATCTTTATAACTTTTTTAGTAATCTTTACATTTCATATTTTCTGCCAGTTGGAAAAACAGTGTTGTTAATTAATGTCAAGAGTATATATTTAATCCCTAGAGTATAGTTGAATAAATATTAACATGACAATGGTTTGGAAATATGTTTTTTTTTTAAAGATGGCTTAATATTGACATGATTGAGCATGCTCAGTCCCAAGCAGGCAGTACAAAAACACTTGATTAAATTGATCTCAGTATTTAACGGTGTCCAAAAATGTTAAGGTACAAACTAGGGGTGTGCCGGATCCGTTTTTTCCAACCGGATCCGGATCCGGATTTTCTTATGCGAAATCCGCCGGATCCGGATTCCGGTTTCTCCCGGATTCCGGATTTTGGTACTATTGGTAGATACTTCGGTAAGTCAAGGTGGACTACTACTTTTTGTGTATGGGAATTCGCAATCGGCGCCAAAAAATCCGAGTTTTTAATTTTCCGATGTGTGTGTCTATTTATTATTAAATTAGTACTTTCGATATATATTTGAGTTCCGTTCCATTTGGATAAGTGTCTTACGAGAGACGCCATGTTTCTACGCGTTCGCAGCAGGTTATGCAGCTCGCTCAACCTAATTTCGCCATGGGGTTGGCCACGCCCCCCTTTTTAATGGCGGAAGTTGACGATACTTAGGAAATATTAATTTATTATCACTATTTACATCAAAATAATTGATAACTTGTGTTTCAGAATGCATTTAAAGACATTTAAACTGGAATGTTTTAATTTGAGCTTTAACAACCCGGTAGAATCCATATTATAAATGATCAGAATTTACCGTGTGCAACACGTTGTCATTGGCAACCATTCACAGCCACTTGCATAACTGTATCGTAGTACTACCTCAGAGTTTCATTCATAAGAGTTTGCCGTGTGCAAAAACTATTAAACCATTGGTCAGGGAAAGCTTTAATTAATTATTCATGTGCCAAAGTTGAAAGTTTAAACTAAGTCTAAACAGTATTTTAGTGATAAGGCAGGGAATGCGTTGCCTTATATAAACTATATAGTCATTGCGCATGACGGGATTGGTGGAATGAGATCACAGAATGTGGAGATGCAGTCCATGTTAAAAAATGACAAACCAAGTCGTACTTTAAAAATTCATAACTTTAAAACTACAACAGCTAAAAATATGATTTTGGTGTTATAATTCTTTAAAAAATTACATCTTTTCAACTATGCCATTGGTTTATTTTTACAAAAAGTTTAAATTTTCTTATCAAAGTCCCTACACTATTGGCCACTATTAGCGGTGCTGACTCTAGCCTCTGGTATGTACGGAATATTAAACATTAAACAAGCTCAACGCTCGAAACAATCGATTAATGTATCGTGATCGTGTGAAATTCGGGAAAGAGAATTACTTTTATTTCAGATTATGATCCGGTGAGTCACAAAATCTGGCAAATTCCGAAATCCGGTATATTCCGGATTCCGGAATCCGGTTGTTCCGGATACATGTAAATCCGGCGGAACCGGATTTCACCGGATAGTGCAAAATCCGGCGGAACCGGATTCCGGACCGGGGTCCGGCACACCCCTAGTACAAACACAGAATTTGGTAATGTTTATGCAGCATAAAAAATTATAACTTTTTAACCGTATGACCTATTGTTGAATGTTCAATACATTTTCTATTCTAACTTAAAACACTTGATTTTAAAATGTCTTAAATTAAAAATTTGATAATTAAGCATCATATTAATCCGAATACTCATATTAATTAATGTAAGAAACTTGAACATGCAATAATGTCATTTCTTGATATTGAAGTAGAGTCAGTAGAGGCAATATTCAATTTTTCTTCAAGTTCTTTGCTATTTAAGTTTAACCATTACCAGTGGAAGATTTTAACGTAAGGACTCCATGGATGTAATGAGTGTATTAGTGATTTCCAAGTTATAGTCTTGATGCATAAACAAATGTTTAATCCAATTCTTTCCATATAATAAAATTTGATCAAAGAAAGACTGACACACTACTTGATATAACAATACACTACTTGATATAACATAGCCAACTCTCCACGAAATGCGGTATCCACTAAAATATACAAAAATGAAACTCATGCATCTAGAACGTTCATGTGCCTTTGCAGATGGGCATAGCTCCAGCTGTTCCCTGTAGTGAAAATAAAATTGTGTTGTGCCACTGTTGCTCGAAATGGGTCTTTCAAAAGAGAAAAACAATTTAGATGAACAATTTTGACAGAGATTTAATAAGTAGGCACCAAGTAACATTTATGCTATGCTTGTAGTGCTTTAATGAAAGGAAAAGTTTGGTCGACTAGTAACTGTTTCAATAAATGAGAATCATACATGTGTTCTCCTGCAGAGGAAGGCATTTCTCTTACCATCATCCAAGAATGCTATGGGGGCATGGTAATCTGATCATTTCTTCAAGATTGGAGAAGGTTCTGTCATGCAAGGGTCCTTCACATGAATTGACAGTAGTATCAACAGAATGGGTCCACAGGCTGCAGGGAAACTTTCCAGGACAACTCTCATTTGGTAGTGACTTCCCATACCTGTACCATTCACCCAATTTTACACCCCCTGATTCCCACTTGTGAAGAACATTAAAAGAGTGAAGATGCACCTAGGCCTGTGCCTGCATTTGGCAAGCAAATCCACTCAGTTCGCTGTAGTCTGCAGCAATCTTTGTTCCAGATATTTTTGAGTGAACTATATGTACACTTGCTAAAGCAAGGCATTATGGACTTGAACACTTAAATTACGCCACCGTTAACAAACCTTTTTGCCCGATGCCCTCTAAATAGGTTTAAGCTTTAAAAAAAAAAAAAAAAATATATATATATATATATAAATATATATATATATATTCTGCATGGAGCCAAAAGGAAGCTTAATATTTCAATTGGACACCCCTTTTTATTAAAAACAGACTGACCCACCCTCACCCCCAAATGTATCTTCAAATGTTGAGAAAGACAGCATTATGCATATTGTGGTAAATCAATGCTAATACTACTAATACTAATAGTAAGTATGTTAGTTTCTTTCAGGATAAAAATACTCACAAAAGTCAACAAGATAGGCTAATATTTGTTTCTTTTCAGTACTGTAGGCCTACCTTTATAGTCGTATATTACTGTATCTAAATTAAATTATATTAGGTCTATACAAATTATAGCCTATAAACGATAGTTATAGGTCCCTGCCCCTAGTCGTCTAGTATACCTAATTAACAACTTACAACTTAGTTATTTTCCAAAATAATCCATTGACATTGCCAATTATTGTCATAGAATAATCAAATAATTCAAATTCATAAAAGTAATAATACTAATAAATAAGGTAAGATAAAGTACTCTGACCCTTGTCATTTGATTATTAACAGTTAAAGTTAGGCCACCGTAAGGGCCTCAGATATTTAAGACATAAATAAGAAAAAGGCAAGGCCAAGGTGCTCAAAGTTGAGGTGCCGTCATGTGAAATCATGTGGCTGTGATTTACAAATTTAAAAAGTAGAAAGGGGGCCTCCAAAAGTAACGCGACAGCTAGGTACTAATATAGTAAAGCAGGTATATATGCCCAGTATATTTAGGCGGAGCACCTACAGTTTATCGCGATTTTAGTCCAAGTGACAATAATTTGAATGAGAAATGAGTTGTCTTTTCTTGGTTAGGAATATTTTACTTTTACTTACCCGGAGTTACTGGCATTTGTAGCTTCAATACTGTGTATTCTAAGCTTGTTTGCAATGTCTTTCAAGGACTGAATAGTCTGAGTATCGGGCCTATGGTATTTGCTCATGATGTTATGTTTTTAAAGACCAATAACAAGAAAATGACTTCAGATATTCCACAACCACGCCAATATAGCACAGTCAGATACCGGTTGATTGAGCCTTGACCTTTCAATAGTTCACCAAAGCATGTCAGGAGGTAAAAGCGCCACCACACCGTGATGTAGCATTTTTCCCCCTGTTTAGAATTAGAAGAGAAATTTACTTAAATTTACTATCTTAATTTTTCATTCTCATGTAGTGATTAATTTTTTTTTAAATAATTTTAATTCTGTTGTGTTTTACTATTTTAAAAAATCGCATTGAATGCATTTTAACTAACAAATAATCTTTTTTGTGACTATCGCTATTAGACTATCTTGCTTAAGTTAAGAGATCGGCCAAAACAACCAACACATTCAAAGCCTTGTCTTTCGACTAGTTCTGACTTGAAACAACTGTGTTGACATAAATAGACGCGTTATCACAAGGATTTTGCCATTGGCGTAGTCAGAAGGATGGGGTGGGGTCATCTACCCCATGCAATTTGGGGGGGGGGGCAAAAGAAAGGAAAAGAAAAATAATGTAAAGGGGGAACCCGAAAAGAGCGTGTATCCTGTGATCTTTTCATTTGCAAAACCTTATTTGGCAAAATGTGTATCCAATTAAAACTTATCTAATCTAGCGTCAGCAGCGATCCACTAATTAATGTCACATAGCCAAACTTAGATTTCATCAATCCCGGATTAACCATTTAGATTAACCATTTAGCACAATATCAGCTCGTGCTCAGGGCATCAAAGACAGGAGAAAGCCCGCATCAGAAAAATAATAAATAATCATACACAATTCCATAAATAGCTTTATATTTAGTAGCACAACCATAGCATTGGAGATATTTACGATAATAAACGATGTGTACATTAATAATGCCACCTATCCATCATTTGATGCAATACAGATAATCCTCAATTTTATATTTAAAAAAATATTGATTACAAGTATCAATTTTTCAGATTTGTTTGCAATGTCTTTCAAGGACTGAATAGTCTGAGTATCGGGCCTGTGGTATGTGCTCATGATGTTGGGTTTTTAAACAACAAAAAACAGTTAAACATGATGTGTTTATAAAATCTGAAAATTCTATACTCTTAATCACTATTTTTTTATATTTATTTTTTAAATAACATTTTTTATTAAAATGTAAGATTTTCTATTGTAGCATGGTTTTCCATTAGTATTTTTTTCTACTTTATTTTCCATTTGTAGAGTAGGCTATAGTTACAAACATATTACAATGTATACAATGACGTAGCTTGGGTTAGTGCCGCCCAACGTGGGACAAGTTTTGTTTCCGCCTCCTTTCGACTAAATAATTGTGCGTTGGCTGAAGATGCCACCCTTCAAACATAAAGGCAAAAAGTTCCACCCTGGGGCGGACCACCCCCTACGCATCCCCTGCTACCCACTGAATGTATTTATGCGATTTTTAATTAAATGTATATATTATTTTTAAAACGACAGCTAAAAGGATAGCATCGTATATTCGAAAAATTGATGGAGGTGTTGATCATTTCCTGGATGTGTGTTAGTTCGTAATGGAAACGAAATTTGCCGGAGAATAAAAAAAAACAGATCTTTTTGTTTGTTGTTTGTTTGTTTGTTTCAGTCTATGACAACACAGAAAACAATCCGTGACCCCCAATGGGTTGCTAGAGGGGAGTCATTTCAGGGTTTTTTCGGGGGGGGGGGGGCAAAACAAAAACTTGGTGGGCTTGT